GGCAGGGCCAACATATGCCGACATATATCGCACATATGTCGATTGGAATTTGACTGGCCCTGATTAATTTTTTCTCGAATTGCTGCTATTTAAACATTAAGAATCTAATTCGCTATTTAGAAAGAAAGAAAAGAAAGACCACGCACGGTGTAAAACGCAAGCGCAATTTATGGGTCTTGAGGGTTTAGGGTTTAGGGTTTTGGGTTTAGGGTTTAGGGTTTAGGGTGAGCATATCTCTATCTCTAATATAGATAACCCGAAACCCTACAGGGTTTTTTAGGGGGTTTTAGGTGTTTTAGGGGTTTAGGGTTTAGGCAACATGTACATATCTAAATATATGATAATAACAATATACATATATGTCTATGATGTGTGTGTATATATACATATGTACATATCTCTCTCTATATATTTAATATACATATATGTATATATATATATATATATGTCTATAGTGTATGTATATATATATATACTACAATACAAGCAGTATAATACAGTATATGCCTTAATCTAATAAAGTACAATGCAATATAATGTAGCATAGTATAGTACAATGTGGTATAACATAACATGAAACACAGTATAATATAATTTAACGTATGTACATACATACGGACATGTAGGAAGACGCACAGAAGGTGTGTGTGTATATATATATATACACACATATTTGCACATGTTAATAAACGTGTATATATACATGCATGAATCTGCGCACTTCCGCTCGCAACACTTGCAGCTTGGTGAGAGAGGTGGGCAGCCCTTGTTTCCGCAGCAATATAGACAGCACTGAGGAGTGCCGAGTCTTCGAGAGCAGAAGCTGAGGATATCTTTTTATGCCCTCACACCCCCTTAGCCTCCAGAAATTCCGATATCGGAAGCCCGAAGTTTTGACCTGCACACCCCGGAGTCCGCACGCAATTTGCTGACCTCTATCACCAACTTTTGAGCAGTCCAAAAGCAAGCGCCATCAGTTGCAGTTGAAGCAAGTGCCTACTGGTCACGTCTTGCACATGGTCTTCGGTGATGACATGTCATACCCCTTTCCAGCCCATCAAATCGAAGCTTGAACGTCCACCCACTGCTCCGGGCTCTCATGCGGCCCGCCCTGCGATGACCGTCGACACGGCTGCGACCAGCACCATCTTCGACTTCGACGAGCTTGAGAAGGCCTTCTCCTTCCCGGCAGCTTGTCGGAGTCCGCAGCTTTGCCGTGGGACGGCCAGGCATACGCGAAGATCGATGTCACCGTCGCAGGTGGGCAGAAGCGCTTGAGTCCAGGGAGAATGTCGTGGAAAGAGTTGTCGTGACTTCTTATGTTGCCTCTGCTTCGGCCGATGGTGTTGCTCTGGTGAAAGATATCGAATCATGATGCATGCATGATCGCTCCTGTCGATGGTGATTTCATCTTGGTTGTAGCAGGCCTACTAGCGTTTGAGCTTGACATCTCCATTGGTGCTACCATGGAGGGTAGTTGGGGATTATGGCGGTCAGAATTTTTGGCGATCGCATCCCCTGCAGACGTTATCTTATTATATAGCTGTTATCATATGAACCAGCGCCAAAACCCCCAGTCGAAGTGTTAAGGCATTTGAGCCACCGTCGACTTATCACTGAAATCGTACTCTATTGGAGCCCCTGGACTTCGGCAAGCCGAACGTCTAAAAGCCACTGTATGAACACCGCCAAACAGGGGCAAGAGCCCTGAATCCCTAAACCCGAAACCCAAAACCCTAAATCTTAACCCCTAAACTCCTAAACCCGAAACCCGACACCCTAAACCTTAAGCCCTAAACTCCGAAACCCGAAACCCAAAGCTCAAAACCCACAAAGGGGGGGCCCCTCTTTGGATCCGTCAATCCTGCTCCTTCCTGCAGGGGCTCCGCTGGAGGACCTGGCGGACCTGGACGAGGCAACTGGAGCCTAAAACAAGCTTTTGGGGTTTTAGGGTGTTTAGGGTTTCGGGTTTTGGGGTTTTAGGGTGTTTAGGGTTCCGGGTTTTGGGGTTTTAGGGTGTTTAGGGTTTCGGGTTTTGGGGTTTTAGGGTGTAGGGCTGAAAGTTTAGGGAAGTTGAGGATTGTTTTTTTGTTGTTGTGGGAACCCCCAAAGCCTGCAAACTTTTAGGGTTTTGCACCCTTCGTTTTAGAGAGCCTTTCCCAGAAAGCCTTCGGTTTTTTGGGATCCCCAGCCTGGCTGAAGGTTCCTTATGCGTATATATTAATATATATATATATAAATAAATAAATATATATATATATATATATAAATAAATATATATATATATATAAATAAATAAATATATATATACAAATATATATATATATATATATAAATAGATATAATACATACAGTACATCCCAAAACCTGCTCTAATACTTAAGGCCCCTGTAGTACCTTCGTGGCCCTGAGCTTTGCACAACCTGGATGCACTATACTACAACTGTAACAAGAACCCCCCCAACATCGCAGTGATAATCATATAGGACACTTAACTCCTAAAAGCCTAAACCCTAAACCTTATATTACTCAGGCGCCCACTTCCGATGCCGATGGCCTGGACTCACTGTCCGAGATCTGGCCAGGCAAGAGAAGCTCCAAGAGTTTGCCGACGAAGAAAAGCCCACCTGCACCCTAAAGAACCTACCTTTTTAGGGTCCCTTACTGTGACGTCTTTATAGAAGTCCTTAAAGAGGTAGGTTTTTAAGCTTGTTTTGAGGGTTCCTTACTATGACTTCCTTATATAAGTCCTTAAAGGTCGGTGATTAAGGGTCCAGGCAGGCCTTCAAGGACTCCTTAAAGGGAAGCCTATGATAGAACCCTCCTGGTACCCTTCAATTAAGCCTAGTTTAGAGCCTTCTGGTACCTTTTTGAGGGAAGCCCATCACAGAACCCTATAGGGCTCGGAAGAATGAGTGATATGGTTTTAGCATACACGACAACCTTATTCTCTTTGTTAAGCCCCGCTGTCTTGAGGGTTTTGCAGGCTAAGGTTCACGACATGTCAGTGTCCCTGTGCTCTTGCTTTTCTGCATGGGCCACATGAAAGTTCAGCATTGAGGATTCAGGACTCTGGGTTTCAGCGTTCCCTGGTTTCAGTTGAGAGTTTAAGTTGGAGGGTAGAAGGTCCAGTGTCGAGGGTCAGTCGTGCTTTGTCTCTTGCTGCAGTTGGGGCTCTAGGCTTCAGCCTTTGCCTTTGAAGCTCAGGGTTCCAGGCGCTCGTACGAGAATCGGTAGCTTAGGGTCTTTGTACTTCTCGCACCGGTATAAGAATAGGTGCCCGTACCTCAGGTTTCCTTTGCGTGGCCGATGTTCCCCTAAGATTTCAGAACATCCCTTGAATCCTGAACTTGAACCCCATCCCCGAATGTCCTGTACGACACCCTAAACCCTAAACCCTAAACTAGTACTTTTCACGTCCAAACTCCCAAACCCTGTGCCAGGCGATTTGCCGAATGTAGAGCTGGAGGACGATGATCTCCCCGAGTTGGTTCCAGGCATCGTGACCGACGCTGTTTGTCCAGAAAAAAGGGGGGTCATTCCGTTTTCGTTGTGGGTTTCGTAGGTTTTTTTTTTAAAAATGGGACGTCAGAAATTTTCTCGACTAATTTGGTTGGGTCTGGAAGTGGGGCCTGGCGTAAACACTTGGGTCATTCCCATACTGGTGTGTATGGTTCGGTCGGGTGTAGTGGGAATGCAACAAGCCTCTTCCATTTGATCCCACTCTTTTCCGACTTTCTCAAAGATTTGTTGGGGCCCATTGATATCCATGGTATGGAGATGTTGATCACACTGGAGGAAATGACGTCCGTTCTTATCCCTAAAGTCGTCATACTACAGTAGAGGAGGCTCGGGTTTGCAGCTTTGGAGGATTCTCGGCAGCAGCGCCGGGGACCCTGAACTCTAAAACCCGAAACCCTTTCGGGATTGTTGAGGTGCACACCATCCACAGTCCTACTGCTAGGTCCGAATGAAAAAGCGTGGGGATACCTTGTTAAGAAGTCCTGAAAATGTCGATCTTTTCATTTCGAGGTCCTTTGAGCCTGATCCACTAAATCCTCGAAGCCTGTTTCTGGCTTTTGGAGTGTGAGTAGGATCCTGAACCTCAAACCCCAAACCCCAAAAACCCTAACCCAAAAACCCTAAACCTAAACCCGAAATGCCATGTTACCCTAAACCCTAAACCCTAAACCCTAAACCCTAAACCCTAAAAAACCCTAAACCTAAACCCGAAATGCCATGTGGGGGCTTCCGAAAATAGGGGACCCTAATATAGGGCCCTAAATAGTAGGATCCTTATTAGAAGGACACCAAAATAAGGTACCCTAAATTTCGGAAACCCCCATGTTACCCTAAACCCTAGAACCCTAAACCCTAAACCCAAAACCCTAAAAAACCCTAAACCTAAACCCGAAATGCCATGTAGTAGCAGCTCGCCGGTGTTGTTTTGACTCCTGGTCCGGGCGATCGTCAGGGATTGGGGTTGGCCTGCCAGAGGGATGCTTAGAGCTCGGGGTCTAAGCTTTTAGGGTTCAGGGTTTAGGGTTTCAGATTTATTTAGGCTTTAGGTCTTTGGGCCTTAGAAAGGCTTATATAAGACTGTAGGGTTTCAGATTGAGGCTCTAGGTCTTTGGGCGTTAAAAAGGCTTATATAAGATTGTAGGGTTTTTCAGATTTAGGCTCTAGGTCTTTGGGCGTTAAAAAGGCTCTTTAAGATTGTAGGGTTTTTCAGATTTAGGCTCCAGGGCTTTGGGGGTTGACAAGTGTCCAGTCCTCTTTGCGCAGAGCGGGGGACTTGGATCGCAGGGGTCAGGCCCCAAAACTTACATCTGAAGCCATACCTGGAGGATCATGGGACTTAGTAAGTATGGTTATAAGTACTTTAATTGGGGTCAAAAGTAGTTATAAGTATAGTTACCCTAATAATAACCTTAGTTACTAAGTCCCATGATCCTTTAAGTGAGCCATACATCTGACTACGGCTTACCCCCAAGCCCTAGAGCCAAAAAATCTGAGACCCGAAAATCTTAGACCCCCAACTCCAAACATCCCGCTGGTAGGTCCGGAGTATCGGCCGGGAGTCTGGGAGGCGCCGGCTGCCTGTAGATCCTACCTTAACCCACTTTTCTGTAGGTTCTTATTATGAACGCTAATATGGGATCTATCGGGACCCTACAAAAAAGTAGGTTCTGGTAGGTTAAGGTGGTCTTACTAGTATTGTTGCGATTAGTTTGTTTGAATAGGTGTTAGTCTTATTGTTATTACCACTGCTACTACTACTACTACTACTACTACTACTACTACTACTATTATGACGACTACTTCTGCGACTAGCTACTGCTTCAAATTGACGGTGCCAGAGAATTTAGGAGCTTTTTTCAGAGGTTTACACATGTTCCTATTGTGTTACAAGGAATGAAGTAAGGGTTTGTAATGAAACTACGACTGTGTATTGATTTTAAACAGACTGCTAGATGGAGAGAGAGAGAGAGAGAGAGAGAGAATTGCAAGCAACAGTAAACTACTGTACGAAAGGAGATGCGTTCAATATGTGGAGCTCTGGCGAGCATAACTTTGATCAGAAGCCTGTACTCTCGAGTCATTGAGCCTCGCCTCACAAGCAGACTGGAGCAGCAGATTAGCATCACGTGCGTGCGTGCACTTGCCTACTCAGTTGCTGTTCTCATCGCATCCAATCTGGAAACTCAGATGACCGTGGTGGCATGGCCGTTGAGGTCCTGCCGCCAGCCTCAGACCATTGGCTACGGATCACCCCGGCCGGCAGGGGCTTCTCCCACAGCCCAAATCTCACAAATGGCAGGTATGCGTCCTCCGCCTCATTGTGCGGAAGGAGCCGAGTGTGGACGCAGGGGCTCCCTGGCGCGAAAGTGTCACTGCCGCGGTGGTCACCATGCCCCAAAAAGGGGCCAAAGACCAACACCCATTCCTAGTACCTAGTAAAGGCCGTATGCATCCGTATGCCCAGTACACCTCCGTATAAACACCCACGAGAACGACTATATCATGACAGGAAGCCTTTATGAAAGAACCCTAAACCCTAAACCCTAAAAGGCCCTAAACCCGAAACCCTAAACCCTAAACCCTAAAAGGCCTAAACCCTAAGCCCTAAACCCCTAAAGCAAGAATCCTAAACCTCTAAGCCCTAAAAGGCCCTAAACCCCAAAACCAAAAAAGGCCCTAAGCTCCAAGCCATCCCAAGCCCAAGAGTTCTCCTTGAAACGCCCGAAATCACCCGAGGTGAAGGGCCTCTGCCATGAAAAGGAGCTCCTCTTCGAAGAGCCGCCTGGGCTTTTAAAGGGGCTTTTCGGGCTCTAGAGGGCTTCAGGATGTGAGGGCTTTAGGGCTGGATTTGCGGGTTTGAGGGTTTGAGGGCTTTAGAGGGGGCTGTAGGGTTTAAGATTTCTTTTGGGGTGAGGGTTCTGGGGATTCAAGGTTCAGGTTTTTTTGAAGCTTCAGTGTTTTAGGCTTTTTTGTTAAGGAAATTGACCCGCAGTTTATTCCTAGCAAGCTCATGAAAGGTTCGAAAAAAAGGCGCTGCTAGGGCTTCCTATCGGCTGTTCCAAAACGAGGAAATACCCTAAACCCTAAACCCTAAACCCTAAACCCTAAACCCTAAGGCTACGGCTCAAGCATCTGGCCCGAGACGTTCTTGTGTTGCCCCTTGTCCTGCTTTCCTGCACTGTTCATTGGGGTGACTCGAAGGTGATCACGTGCGGCCAGTACTACTCAGTGCAGTACCTCTTTGGCATTTTGGCCAGCAGGGTGAGATCGTGATCGGGCGGCCAGTCCCTCCCCCTGCACTACCTCTTCTTCTTCTCCTGTCCTTCCTGACGCTTCACTGCATCGTTTGTCGAGAGCTCGCGACCTTTGGCAGTAAACATGATCACCAGAGGCCCGGATGAAGTACCCACACAGCTTATCATTGACGGCCGCAGCGATGAGGCCGAGGATGCCGACTTGGTTGGTTCGAGATCCCCCACTGAGATTGCTGAGGGTGACTCTGATATGGATGTCGATGCAGTGAAGGTGAAGAAGGAGCCGGCTGAGAATATGGGTGGCACTCGAGTCAAGATTGAACATGCACGTGATCGCGGCTCAAGCTGGAGAAGCGGAAAAGGACTGATGCGAGGGGTGACCACCACTCCCCTGGCGAGGATGAGGTAGTGGAGAGTCCGACGAAACGTGCTCTTCCTGCGGGTGAAGTTCATGCTGCTGACCGGCCAGTGACGGGTAGTGAACTAAGACAGCTGCTCCAACTGCACGCCTCCGAGATGAAAGAAGCATGGCGCACCTTCGAGAGCCGGTTGGACAAAGCAGAGCACGCTCAACAAAAGCAAGTGGGCGAAATCGCATCTTTGTCGGGCAGGGTGAAAATCAACGAGAAGGACATTCGGGATGTTAAGAAACAGCAGGAGACCCTCCAGCCCAAGCTCGACTCACTCACTGAGGACGTCCGGAACCTGAAGGTGCAGCTTGATGAGGTGAAGAACCAGCCGATTCCGGGAGCTCGTGGGGGTGACCCTGCTCAGGCCCTTGTACCTGGAGACCCTTAAGGTGACTACCTCCAAAGACAAGGCCGCCAACTTCGCCCGCCCAAGGCACGTCAAGGGGGAGGAGCCGGAGATTCTGCGGTGCCTGTCACGGACAACCACCCTGGGACCAACAGTGGGGGTGATGTTCTTTCTGAAGAGGACCAGCGCACACTGATCATGGAGGGTTGGCTCCAGGACACGCGCAGGGCAATGATCGAAACCGAGGCGGACATTGTGTTCAAGCTGCCGGAGCTCGAGGGCCTCTTTGACGTTGACAAGATTGCCGTCTTCGGTCCACGTCGCAGCGTCGGGATGGTGAAGTTTGTTGTTCGCAATGGGGAGACTATTGGCCAAATGAGGGAGAGGATGTGGAAAGTGATTCGCACAGTCTCGCAAGCCAAGCTGATGTTCCCCAGCACGAAAAACATGGGGGAGGAGAAGCAGGTCTGGATGTCGTTCATGAAGACGCGAACAGCGAGGACGAGGACCGCCCTTATCAGCATGGTTCGCCGTGTGACCATAGGGCTGGCCATGGACGCCAAGGACGAAGGTGGGGGTGTGGTGCACATGGAACATACACAGATGTCGGCTTACGATATGGATTGGAGCGCAGGCACGATTTGGTGCGGAGTCCATAAGATTGCGTCCGCTACCCACAGAGGACCCAAAGATGCAGAGGTGATAACGATGCATGGTGGGTGGGTCAATCTTGATGCAGTCGGACAGGTGGCTGGCTGCACGGCGGGGGTTGCGAAAGCAGCCTTCGAGAGGGAACTATGAAATGGGGCGAGATCATGTTTCACCCCGTCCGAGTTGAGCCAGCCTAAGGCTTGTGTGACTGGGATGGGAAACCCTCCTGGACAGTGTGCAAAACACCGTTGGGGGAGGGTTATGCAATGGAATTTGGGTGGCCAAGGGTTAAATTTGCTCGATGTGGCTGCCTTAGACGCCGAAATCCTCTTCGTGCAGGAGATCTCCAGGGCAAAGAGTGGGTGGAAGAGTCATGACTCTGAACACTTCCATTGGACCTCCTACAGAGATGATGAGATGTGGAGAGGGGTTGGTGTGGGCATTGCGCTTGACAAACTGGACTGCATCATTGCCAAGGTCAGCACCAAAAGAGGTATCTGGATCCTGGCTAGGCTGGTGGGCCTGGGACGAGTTGCTCTTGGGTCCTTACACTGTCACACCGGGGTCACCAACGCCAAGTACCAGGCCGCTGTGGCAGAGTTCTATCGGAGCTGCCCGACTGCGTGGAGGCAGTATCCGATGATATGTGGAGTTGATGTGAACGAGTCGCCTACTTGGATTGAGAGCGTGGAGGAGTACGACAGACAAGGCGTCGAGAACCTGGCAGCGGGAAAGAGCAAGCAGCTAGGATTGGGCTGCGGCCCGTTGCGCCTGTCCCTCACCAGTACAACACGCCGACTCACTACCCCAGGGACACTGACCGCGTGGGACGTCAAATCGATATGCTATGGTGCCGTCAGCTTGCCTTGGGTGATGTTCGTATTGAACCCGATCGCCGTTTTCTTATTGGGTCAGATCATGCTACGCTTTGGGCCGATATTTTCTCTGCGAAGCAGGGACGTCTTCAATGGGGCAATGACTCTCGGCCACGTTGGGTGCGGGGTGACCTTCCGGATTCTACCCTCAAGGACGTTGACGACCTCACGCAACTGGCCCGGGACTACACCGCACCTCGCTCGACACAGGCGTACAAAGATGATGCAGAAGTCAAGGAAGCATTCGCGGCTGCAAGGGAAGCTGGGAATTCCACCGTCCTGTGGAAAAAAGCACACAGGAAGCGACGTGAGAAGAGGAACGAGTGGAAGAAGCGGAGACTCTCTGACATCCTGAGCGGCGACTGGGCGCAATATCGCGCACTTCAGAAAGAACATTCCAGGAGACGTGGGTGGTGGGGAGGAATGCTGGAAAACAAGAGCTCTGCGGCCCTCACGGGTGAAGTCAAAGAACATCTGGAAGGGAAATTGGTGGATGAACATCAGCCTGACTGGGACGACCTCTTGGAAGAGCACATCGCCAACGTTCACTTGGGTGACATGTTCGTGCCGTTCAACATCCTCGACGTCAGGACGGTGCTACATGAAATGAAGACCTCAGGAGCAGTAGGGCCAGACGGTGTAAGTGTTTCCCTTCTTCGTGAAGTTGCAAGCCATGACCACCTGGGACCGCAGCTAGTTGACATTGTGAACCAGATCGTGGAGAACACGGCCATTCCGGCGGGGTGGAATGACAACTTCTTGGCACTTCTTGCGAAAGTCGATCATCCTCAATCCGCGCGGGACCTTAGGCCAATCTGTGTAAGCAGTGTTTTCCACAAGATGGTCACAAAACTGGTCTGTCACCGCGCCTTGCCGATTATGAGGACGGGGTCGAGATGCTCAGGCTGTGGCAAGGGAAGACAAGCCGCCGATATCATTGGGACGATTTCCAGAGTGCGAGATGTTGTCCAAGAATGGCGAGTGCCCTTCCTGCTATGCAAGCTTGACATAGCCGGAGCATTTGACAAGCTCGATCGCCTCCGTGTGGTCGAGTTCCTCAAAGCCCGTCTTGGCAGCCACGTTCTCCCACACGAGCTTCGCTACTTACTGGCGCAACTTCGCACGTACCACCTCTCAGGGAAAGTTCCGGGGGGTGACTCTCTCAGCATCTCGCCGAACATTGGCATCAAGCAGGGGGCACCAGAGAGCGCGGAGCTGTTCGGCATGGTCATGGATGCGATGTTATCCAGATTACTGAGGACACGCGGATGGCAGGCCTTTGGGACGTGCGATAGGGACCTGGGGGTGGATTTGCTCTTCTATCAGGACGATATATTTCTGTTTGAGCTTGACTTCGTTAACCTCTGCAAGCGCATCAAGGTGTTGGAGCGCTTCTTGGCCACGGCAGGACTTCGACTTGCCGCGAATAAGACGAAGATCGTGGCGAGCGAGTTCTACAAGGGGGTCAGGAAGGCAAGAGTGGGGGGTGATTTGTTCGAGATCTCGCCCTCGACAGAGTCAGTCAAAGTCCTTGGTCTAGCGGTGAACCTCCAGGACAGCCCGTCGCAGCAGGCTAAGGAACTACTTGGCAGGGCAAGAGGGGCCGCAGCCAAGCACAGGGAACTGCTCAGCGCCAGAGCCTCGTGGGACAAGAAGAACCGGATGATCAACACGCTCGTTGCCTCCCAATTCAAGTGGACCGCGGGGGCCGTGCACTGGGCACCAGCCGACCTTCAGCAAGCCAACACGATGCAACTCCATGTCCTCCGCACTGCCTTCAACTTGCATCGCAAGAACGGGGAGAGCTGGGTTACATGGAACAGTCGCACAATGAGGGAGACGCGGTATTGGATGACGCAGCATCAATGCCCCAGATGGAGCACAGTGATCCTTGGACTCCAGCACACCCTTGCAGGCCACTGGGCTAGACGTGAAGAAATCATCGACTCCTACATCGTCCTCCCCTCCTTACCAATGCGGGCGTTGCTTTGGAGATGCACGGCTTGGTGGCGCCACCAGCAAGCCCTTAGTCCCACAGTGGGAGTTCGGCATCATGGGCACGTTCATGTACATAACCTCGAACGTCAGCTCGCCGAAGTCCATGGCACCAAGTGGACACTCGCTGCCCTGGATCGGGATAAATGGTCACGTGAAAGGGCTCATTTCTTGGAAAGATGGGATGCCAGATGGAGTAGGGGGAGACAGCTGTCCATTTTAGCGTGAAGGAGGTCTTGTAGGCCATGCACCGGCAGTTTGTGAAGCCCCCCCAGGTTGAGACCTGCCGTGCCCCTCAAGGCCTCCCCCGCTGCGCTCAGACCGCCTTAACTTCCACTCTCTACTGCATGCACTTCGGCCTGATCCCCGACCTTTTCTTTCAGTACTTCCACTCGTTTTCGTGACTTACATGTTGCAGCATGAGTTTGCAGACTCGACTCGCTCATTCGTTGCATTCCCAGCGCCTCGGCTCGAGGTGAATTGTGGTTGCCCGCACTCTTTCGTTGGCCGCGTCAATGGTGACTTCGATGCTTCTCCTCCTCGTCCTGTACCTCGTCTGGCTTGGATATGTTCGTGCGGGCAACAGCGATGATGAATATCCGGGCCATCTATGGGAGGCCAAGTGGGTGGACCAACCGGCCGATCAACAAACCGCTCCTTCGTCTACGGGAAGCTCAGCCCACCCTTGGCCCTGGTCCCCTGCGCCAACTACTCCGTCGACGGACCAACCACTCAGTGCTTGGGACGTGTCCACCTCCACTGTTCCCTTGACCGCCTCATCGTCAACCCCGGTAGCAGTACAAGGACACGCAGACCATGGGCAATCGGTGCGGATCATGGAGCACATGGCCAGTGCGTGGGATGAGGACCTATGCTTGGGGCTCCAGCAGGAGGAGATCGACAGGGCAACAACGACTATGGCCCACCCCGCTTCTGGTTGCTCACCAGAGTCCCGACCCGGCTGACATCCCCCTCTCCAACCTGGTCGCTGGCACTTCGACGGCGTCTTCAAGTTCATCGGGGGCAATGGACGTTAAACAGTGGCAGTGGGGTGACATGCACAACCTTGGGCAGCACTCTTCTTGGCCAGCGTCCTCCAGCACTTCACCGCCAGTCTATTCTTGTGGTGGGACAAGCTTGGCCTCGGGGACTTCGCAACCGTATCAAATGGCGGAAACGGGAACGGTTGACTTTCATGAGGTGACCTCGACATCGGCGTCTTCAAGCTCATGCCCGCCTACGTGGACGACCTGGACGCAGGACTACCAGGAGGAGAACAGCCCAGTGGACCCGGGGAGGCCCCACAGCTACTATCCCACCTGGACACCTTGGTCTCCAACAGACGCCCAGGAAGAACCACGGTCGTCTGAATGCCCGGACTGGATCCACCAAGTCATGGACAAGCGCAACCTCAGAGGAAGACCGTGCCCAGCTAATAGGGGCGATAGTTTGGATGCAGCCGAGCCTGTCGAGGAGGAGGGCATCACACAAAGATTTGGACGCACAAGGCCGGGACTTGACCGATGGCACAATCCGGATGGGTCGGTTCGTAGTCGTCTACGTGAACGCCAAGCTTCCGCACTCGCCCAGTCCCCTCTACCAACGGTCCCGGAGGAGTCTCAACCTTGGGCGCAAGTCATTGGTCCGGTGGGTATTGAGGAGGCCACGGGCGACACACTGCTCCTGGTTGAGACAGCCACGGGGGAGACTTGCACAGTTCGCTCCAACCCACCGGGCGAGGAGACCAGCACCACGGCCGGTGAGGAGGGTGACCTGGCGGACACTGAGTCGGGACAGTCTTCCTCGAATGCCACGGATACCTCTACAGTTGGATTTTGGCGGGGTGGTGTTTGGATTGGGAGGGCTCGGACGGAGGCGGAACTTCGGCAACATCGTGGTGGAAGTGGTGAGGTACGCACGCGTCGTAAGAAAGAGAGAATGCAAGCATACTTTGATGGAAGATGGAAGCCAGCGTGGCTACAAAACTACATCAATGACCGTGAACAACGCCTTGCGACGAGTGCGTCTACGACAAAGCCCTCCTCCGCGAACTCCAGCATCCACGGTCTTCACAACCAAGGGTTGGCTGAGATAGCCGCTGAACCGCCTACTTCGGACGACTGGACGAGCTGGGGACAGGAAACAAGCAGCTGGTCAACGGAGGACAACCACAGCTGGAACAACTCTACGTGGACGGGACAATCTTCTACAACGTGGAGTGGCACCTCGTGGACAAATTCCTCCTGGGACGCGAACTGGTGGAGAGGATACCATGGCTCGGAACAATGGGATGAACATGCGTGGTGTTCTACGTCGTCGACAACCACAGGCCTCAACATCGCGTATGAAGGGGTGACTTCGACCTCGACTTCCACGACCTCTACTTCCTCTACCTTGGAGACAGAAGCGGAAGAGGACTGGACGGCACATGGAAGTACGACCAGCACACCTAATCAGGGTGACTTTGTGGCCGTGCCCGGACTCGGCCTCTACCCTGACGTGACACCGTACCATGGCGAGGTCACATGGCTCATGCAACTCACTAATAGTGAAAGAGCCACCTTGCAAGAGAACAGCCTGACCAATGAGAACATATAGAGGGTGGAAGAGCTACTTCATCAACTTGACGATCACCAGATTGATGGCACGGGCCCGGAAGCGCGATGGGCACTCGCTAGGCTTACCGCCAGGTTGGAAGATGGGATGCAGACACTCGGGGCGACCCTGGATATTCTACATCGCCGACTCCTACCGCGTGGTTACCTGCCCATCCAGAGGATACCTGGTGAAGAAATGGTGAGGTGGCGGTGGTTGAACTGGGCCCGCCAGTTCACGACGTTGTTTACCAGAGCCTTGGAGCATAACCTTCGTGCACCACTACAACCCCAAGAGTGTGATCCATCGGAGGGTGTCATGCTTGGCTTCAACACAGCCCCTCCCTACTCCATGGCCAGCTCTTCGGGGGAGAGAAGACCCAGAAGCCGCAGTCCGCGAAGATCGTCATGCATGGGCCCGCCAGAACAAGATGAGACGACAAGGCCGGCGGACAGCACAGATCCTCCTTCGAACCATGGTGCAGCGGTCACGGAGGCGTCCCCTACGGTTACACATGGATCGCAGGCCAGCGAAGGGGATGAGTCGGAACCACAATCGGAGGCTGACCATCCCATAGATCCAGCCACGTTGCCCGGGATTTGGAGAGACCCACCATTGGAGGACCTGGCCAACGATGCAAGCTCCTTCGGTCGTGACTCGTCAGGTTCCGGGGCCCCCTCTTCAAGCACTACGACCACAACGTGGGGTGAAATGGCGATGATTCAAGATGTGAACTGCGAACCCTGCTCTGTGGATGATGAGGTGGCATACATGCAGACCCACAAGCTCGCTTGGTCATGGCTGGCATCCAGTACGTCTACCGCAACCAGTTCTTCATCGCAAGGACCATGGCCTGCCAACTTGGTAAGGGAAGCGGCGCTCACGGAGACAGCTATGGCAGGACAAGCCGACAATGTCGACCTCCTACGTCGTCTCCTTGATCGGCAGCGGACGCTTCTCCATTGCCAACGTCTTCTTGCAGAAGTGGTAGAAGAAGTGTTGGGACGACTTGATGTGCCGCGCCACGCTCTCCCCTTCAATGCGGCCACCATGGAGGCAAACATATGGGGTGTGGTGGGCAGAGAAGCCGCCAGTGGCAGCGGACCATCGCAGACAGCGTCGGTTCTTCGAGGAGGACAACCAGCGGTCCTTCTACAGCCAGGCTTTCCTACGAGTATCCCTGAGCTACATCGTGCGCTTCCTGGTGTTGACGAAGGGACAATGGCAGGCTACAGGCGCAGGGCATGGCGGACCCATGTAGCCCGGCTCTACCAAAGGGCGGGAAGGGCAACACCGTTAGGCAACTGGCCGTCGGAGGAGGACCGTGACTTGTACCTGATTCAAACGGATGGCGAAGTCCCGGTGCCAAATCTTCCGTCTGAATGTGCTCCACCTGAACGCCCCTTTGTACAGCGGCGACTTCATGGCTCCGCAGCACGACGCCGAGGACAACGTCTTCTACGCGGACAACCTGACACCTCGCCACTGGGAAGCAACACCCCGTCCTCCTCCATGCAGGCGGTCAGGGCAGAAGCACAAGTTGAAGTGTCGAACAGCCGTGAACGCAGCCGCAGTCGTGACGCAGACCACCACGTTAATGAAGACCACGACGCGGGAGGACAGCACAATGAGGCTGAGGAGGTTGACTAGAGTCATGCTTTCTGACAGTGCACACTCGAAAAGAGTGAGCCTTTGGACCTCATGCGGAGAAAGGGGCTAGTGCATTAAAAAAAAAAACCCTAAACCCTAAACCCTGTACATTTCTGGGGGCTTTTTTTTTCAGCCTTCGAGCTGACGAGTACGTGGCATGCGTCACGCTTGAACAGCAGGAGCGTCACGGTTTAGGGTTTCGGGTTTACCTTCAGAACCCCAAACCCACCTTTTGGTAGGTTCTTATTATAAACCCTAATATGGGAGTTATAGGGACCCTACAAAAAAATAGTAGGTTTTGGGTTCTTAAGGTAGGGGCCCTGGCGCGTTCTGGGGTGGTTTTGGGCGGATAACGTTGGGACCAAGCTCGGGCAGCAGGGGGCCCGATCTAGTCGAAGGAGCGATGTTCCATGGTAAGGGAGTGCTGGGCTGTCCCCCCAAAATGCTCATGGAATCCCAGCGACTCCAATCCTCCTTAATTAAGGAATATACCTTAAATCATATTAGGGGTCCTACTATAATTTAAGGGATATTCCTTAATTAAGGGGTATTGGAGTCTCTGGGAATCCCAGAAGAAGAGAACTCCCGAAGCCCTCTGAAGCCTCAGTTTAGGGTTTAGGGTTTAGGGTTTAGGGTTTAGGGTTTAGGGTTTAGGGTTTAGGGTTTAGGGGTTTAGCTCAGTTCTCAAGGTTGGGCAGTCCGGAGAACGACTGGATATGCCTGGAACGCCGGGCGCTCGGATTTGTCAGAAGATCACTGCGCTCGCGAACGAGAGTTCTACCCTTCTCCGAGGCTTTGAAGTACTTGTGAGTACAAAACACATTACCCTAACCCTCCAGGTAACTACGATATAGGGCCCTAGGGCCTCTAGATGCCTCTAGTACCCTGTATAGTAGGTAACTGGGGGGGTTAGGGTTATATGTTACATATACTCCGCGTAATATTTCTTTGTTACATTACATATAGTTTCTGTTCACAAGTTTGTGGAACCCCCCCCCCCGGTCCGCCTTTCGGGTTCCGACATGTTCCCGGAGCTCAGGTGAACGAGGATTCGTGTTGAAGGCCGGGCCCTGGGTAGTTCTCCAAATGAGGGTTTAGGGTTTAGGGTCCCTTTTAGAGTCCTTTTTGAAAGGGTGCCCCGCTATTTTTGGGACCCCAAGAGAGACCCTAATTGGCCCTAATTTAGAGAAACACCCGCATGGTAGCTGTGTGAAGATGTGTGCTTGCCGGAAGGCACCTCCTAAACAACCCAAACCCCAAACCCTCACGCTGTAACCCCATACTAAACCCCAAACCCAAGCCTGCAACCAAACCCCCTAACACGGAATCCTACAAGCCTCAACACTGCGCATGACTGGTGCTTCCCTCGAGTTCAGCCAAGCGAGCTAGAGTGATCCAGGGTTTACGGTTCAGGCTTGGGCGAGTTCTGAGGCATGGTTTTGAGCAAAGCAGGGCGGTTGCAGCCAGGATGGCAGCATGAAAGACCCGAAACTGGGCATGCTGGTGCGGCCGTTCCACCTCAGCAGTGTACCCATTGATGCCTGGACGAAGTTCGTTGAACTTGTAGACGTCTTGCTTCCCGCTTCTTCGTTTTTGCTTATGCTGGCTCCTTTCATGCTGTCCGCTAAGCCCAAACTACGGGGCCTCAGAGTTGCGATGGGCTCTCTTGCCGGGCTGAGACTTTTCTCAGGGCTGTTGAGCTTGGGGTTCGGGGCCGCGCCCAATGTGTTTCTGGATTCAGAGCTCCCGGCCATCGCTAAGGACCAGAGCGAAAGCGTTCTGTCCCTTCTGCGGACGACGTGGCGCAGCGTGCGGGAGCAGAACGGTAGCGCCTGATTGGCACCTGTGGTTCAGTGTTCGGCCTCGTTTGCGGAGACCCTAGAACTTGTCTGGGGGCCGTGGGTGGTTACCTAACTTCAGCACAGGTCTTCTGCGCCCGCAGCTTGTTGCAAAGCTGCGCCGGGCAGAAGAGGATGCGGCCACTCGGGCATGCAAGCGAGGTCATTGCTATAGCCTCAACCCTATGTTAACCTACCATAACCCACTTTTTTCACGGTTCTTATTATAAACCCTAACATGGGATTTATAGTAGGTTCTGGTAGGTTAAGGTAGCCCCAAGACCCTGAACCCCAGACTCGGCTTCGTCTACGCCGAGGTCTCCGCCGCCAAGTCGAGTCCTTCCAAAGCTTTCGACTTCGAAATCTTCCAAACCGAGTACCAAAGAGGTCTGCGCTGCCGAAACGTCTTCTGCGGTCTTTTCCGGAGGGCCCAATACCCCTCAAATAAGGAATATACCTTAAATTATAGTGGCCTTCATATTATGATTTAGGGTATATTCCTTAATTAAGGGGTATTGGGACCTTTGGGTTTTCCGGAGGGTCGGTTTCGTCTCATTCTGAGCCCCGGAACTCTGGCTTCCTTGGTCGCCCCCTTTCACAGCCTACAGCAACAGTGCTCGAACATGTACCAAGGTTTAGGGTTTAGGGTTTAGGGTTTAGGGTTAGGGTTTAGGGTTTAGGGTTTAGGGTTTAGGGTTTAGGGTTTAGGGTTTAGGGTTTAGGGAGTATTTCTTAGGGTTGTGCGAATATACCAACTCCACGACCCTATTCTGTTCATTTTTGTTCTCCCCAACGCCTTCTGAACCACACAAATCCAGATAGAACACCGAGCACATCCCATGAACCACTCTACAACCCTACAAAACACCCAGAGTTCAAAGCCCCTTAACGCCCTCCCTAGCAGAGCCCACCCTCAGCCCTAATTCCCAAACCCTGAACCCTAAACCCTAAACCCACCCTAAACCCTAAAGCCAAAACCCTAAACCCACCCCAAACCTTAAAACCCACCCTAAACCCTAAACCCTGAACCCTGAACCCTGAACCCTAAACCCAGCAGGAGTGAACACGCTCCTCTCAGAGCAGGGTTTCCTGGCGCAGGCCACTCGGGGGGTCCGGGTGTTTCGGCGTCTCCAGTTGCAGCGATCTTTGGAGGGTTCCAGAAAGGGTTTAGGGCTTCTGGAGTTTAGGGCTTCTGGAGTTTTGGGTTTAAGGGTTTAGGGTTTAGGCTTTAGGGGTTTAGGCTTTAGGGGTTTGGGGTTTAGGGGTTTAGGGGCTTCTCCAAGGTTCCATTACAGGTCCGGGAGTACATCTAACAGTTTAGGGTTTAGGGTTTAGGGTGGGTTTCTATCAGGTTTAGTGTGGAGGGGCATTGGGGTTCCAATATATAGGCATCTAAGGGTTCTGACGAAGGGAACATGTCCTTGTCGGTGTCTTGGTAATATTGATACTGGCTCAAACAGTTTCCAACTTTCGTGGTTTTGAGTCCCTAGGGAACAGAATATCAGCACGCCTCTACAGTCCCCGTATACTCTAACATACACCAGCGCCCTTTTGAACAAATCTACTACCTTCTTGTGTTCGTGTTGAACCGAGCTGGCATCGGATTCGGGACAGACATGATTTCGGATTCAGGCTCTCGCACGCTGCATGGACCTCTACAAAGCCTTAAATCCCTCAGCGGCCCCCTTAAACAACCTGCAAACCTCCAGACCCCCAAACCCTGAACAGTGCAGCCTTGACAAGTCTCCCAGAGCTTGCAAATATTGCGTGTGCAAGGAGTAAAGACAATGTTGAGTTCTTATCGTCAGGCTCCGCAATTGACCCACCATACTGCATATTGCCTGTGTGACTCAAGTTACCGTACAAGGTACGAAAGTCCTATACGAACCAAGTGTCGACTTCTTTCGCTCGATCCTTTTCTCGAGACTTTGCAGTAACCCTAAACCCCTCAACCCTAAACCCTAAACCCTCAACCCCTAAACCGCTAAACCCCTAAACCCCAAGTGTTTGAGAAGCTGGGTCGATGCCGCAAGAAGTGTTGCCTTGCATTCTCCCTGCACCCTAAACCCTAAACCCTAAACCCAAGGCCCTAAACCCTAAACCCTAAACCCTAAACCGACAGGCCAGGCTGTTGATGCAAAAAGCCGTCGCTGCATCCCAGTTGCAAAAATTTACGTCTGGGACAGGGCTGGGAAGTGGGAATGTTCGGGTTAGGGTTTAGGGTTTAGGGTTTAGGGTTTAGGGTTTAGGGTTTAGGGTTCTGGTACATCCGATAGTATAGTACATCAGAGTGGTAGAATATACTACGGTATCGTAGCAAGGTGCAGTATGATGTTTGATATGATGTAGCCTACTCTTCTGCCTGATGTGATTGGGTAGAATTAGAAATTGTAAGGTCTGTCCCACTGGCTCGTCACTTCGATAGGTTGCGGCTCGGAGGGTGGCTCGTGCGCAGAGGACATGTCATCGCAACCGCATGCCTTACGCCTAAGACCCTACCCCTTCTACCTTCATCTTCAATCCCAAGCCCTTAAGCCCCCCTAAACCCTAAACCCTAAACCCAAAGCCCTAAACCCTCAACCCACCCCAAACCCTAAAACCTAAACACACCCTAAACCCTAAACCCAAAGCCCTAAACCCTAAACCCTAAGCGCCCTAAACCCTAAACCCTAAGGGCCCTAAACCCTAAACCCTAAACCCTAAACCCTCAGGTCCCTATGGCCTCCAAGGCCGAGACTCCCAAAGAGCCCGAACCCGACAACCCTGAGAGCCTCAAAGCCCCAGAGCCCTCCAAAAGGGTTTAGGCTTTGGGGTTTCCTCCCAAAGATGCCTAGGGTTTAGGGTTCAGGGTTTAGGGTTGGGGGTTTAGGGTTTAGGGTTCAGGGTTTAGGGTTTAGGGTTTAGGGTTCAGGGCTTTAAGGGCTTTGGGGGTTTAGGGTTTAGGGTTTAGGGGTCTAAAGCCCTGAAAGTCCTGAAGTCCTAGCGAAGTCCTAAAGTCCCAAAAGCCCTGGACCCTGAAACCCTCAGCCCCGAAAGCCCGGCTCCTAAAAGTAATCCTTTGCAGTTTACTAAGCTTCATATAGACATCCCTTTCAGAGGTTTAGGTTTTAGGGTTTAGGGTTTAGGGTTTGGGGTTTAGGGTTTAGGGTAGATATCCCTCTCACCACCTTCTAGTACGTGAGTACCCCGGACATCCGCTGCCTGAGGTGGGGAACCAGAGCGCAGGCAAGCTGCGCTACGCTCCCCCCGAGCGAACGAAGGGCGACATGGACCAGGCGAGAGCTCAGGGTTGACGGGTTGACAGGTTTCAGGTTTTCAATTTTGATCCTTCTTGCGTGCTTTGAGGCTGGAGTGGAGGAGGGTCTAGAAGGGTTTCTAGAGGCCATATGTTCCCTAAACCCTAACCCTGGATTTTTTTTGGGGTTTTCGAGGAACCCTAAACCCTAAACTCTAAACCCTAAACCCTAAACCCTAAACCCTAAACCCTAAACCCTAAACCCTAGGCTTTTCGAGGCCTTGAGGCCTCCAGGGGTCCTGGGACTGGGAGGCTTCGGTGTCGGCTCTCATCGCGGCGATGCGCGCGCGGACGCTGCCGAGCCAGGCGTGCCTTCTTGGGATCTGGGTTGAGGGTTTAAGGCTTAGGGTTTAGGCCCTAAACCCTAAACCCTAAACCCTAAACCCTAAACCCTAAACCCTAAAAGGCTTAGGGTTTAGGGGTTGGGGGATTAGAGTTCAGGGTTTGAGGGTTGGGGCATTAGGGTCCAACTCGGGTTCAGGGTCTGAGGTTTCAAGTTTCAGTATTCCAATTTTAGGATGCAGGGTTTCAGGTTGCAGGGTCTAGGCTTACGGGTCAGGGCTTAGAGTATACCTTAACCTACCATAACCCACTTTTTTGTAGGTTCTTATTATAGACCCTAATATGGGATTATTATAGGAACCCGACAAAAAAGTAGGTTCTGGTAGGTTAAGGTAAGGTTTACAAGTTAAAGTTTCACCGGGATCCTCTGTTAGTCTGTTGCGTTATTGCGAGGAAGCTGGGTTCTAAGCTCGCCATGACAGGGAAAGCAGAGCTACGACACATCCCTCTTGTCTAGGACATCTTCAGGCGGGTAGTTACCGTTATCGGAGCCTTATAGAAGGTCTATATACCTGATAGAAGCCTTATAGAAGCCCTATATACCATGCAAAGCCCTCCCATCCCCACAATCCCCAAAAGACCTTGGAGACACCAACACCCTCTCATACATCGCTATGAAATCTTGTAACTCTTATGACTGCTATTACTACCATTAGCAATAGTTTTCCCACGGTTCTTTTATCCGTTAGTACTGTTATTACCACTGTTCATGATACAAATCCGGCATTGCCTTAAGGACCTTAAACTATGGGAATCCCAGAGACTCCAATATCACTTAATTAAGGAATATACCTTAAATCATATTAAGGATCCTACTATAATTTAAGGAATGTTCCTTAGTTAAGGGATATTGGAGTCTCTGGGATTGTGGTATAAACCCTAAACCCTAAACCCTAAACCCTTAAATAATGGACACCAAAGCCCAGCCTCTGCAGGAGGACGCCCTTCAAACGGTCACTGCGGCAGCGCGCCTCCTCGACCAGCAGCCCACGCTGGTGAGGCGCCTTGGGGTTCATACTGTTGATGGACAAAATCCTGCATGACCTTATATACCTAAACTATGGGATTTATGGTACTATACTATATTTGGGTCATGCAGGATTCTGTCCATCAACAGTAGGGCTCAGGGTGGTTTGGGGTTTCGGGTTTGGGGTTCGGGGTTTAGGGTTCGGGTTCATAGGGCTCAGGGTGGTTTAGGGTTTAGGGTTTAGGGTTCGGGTTCATGGGGCTCAGGGTTTGAGGATTTAGGGTTTAGGGTTTAGGGTTCATAGGTCAGGGTTTGGGGTGCAGAGTTTATGGGTTCAGGTTTTCGGGGTTTCAGAGTTTTGGGGCTCTGGGTTTAGGCTTCAAGGATTTGGGGATCAGGGTTTCGGTAGAATCGTAGTTGAGGGATATACCTCAGCAGCATCTTATTAATACCAAGTTCATAGAGTTCTAGGACATTAGTACGAGAGGTAGTATAGGTAGGAGTCGGGAAATCGGTGATAGTACTCCCTTGTTGACATGATATTATGTTGACCCTATCACCCTGATTTCTATTTACTGAAGAGGCCCCTTAACACCAAAACCCCGAACCACTTGAGGACTTCTTTCAAGAACCTGATAGAGCCGGCTGATTCTTTAAGGTCCTTGTATCATGAGGATTTGGAGTTGGGGTTTCAAGATAGCTTCGCTGGACCCTCTTGACAGTGAGCTCTCCCTCCCGCTGCTTGTTGTATTTTGCGGGGGTTTTGCAAGTTGTATTGTCGGGCAGCCTCATTTCCATAAGTCCTTCCAGCCCCTTTCACAACCCTAAACCCTAAACCCCGCATATACACAACTTACTGTAAATTCGAGGTTACAGCTGCCTCCCGGAGCCACGGTGCACCCAAAGCTGCACATGGCGGTGAGATCTTTCTGTCTATATCTCTATATATATATATACACAATACTATATACATCGTAGGTTTGGCTTTGCGAGGTTTGCCATGCAAAAACGAGCAGCCCTGCAGCGTCAGGGGCTCTAGATTCTAGATGAGATTCGGTTTTTCAAATGATTTCGCTTCAGGGGATGGGCGTTGCTTGGGATGATCCTGGCAGATTAGATGGCATCCTGCTTGCTAAAAGGTGGTAACAGCAAGTGATAGCTATTTCACAGGTGATTCCTCAGCTGAAGAACCCACGCCTCAAAAAGTGCCCTAAGTCCTTACAACCTCCCAAAACCAAGACTCACGTAAACCCATCCCGAAAGACACCTTAGGCCCCACGAAGATCCATCACCCATCCAGTTGTTTTTTTTTAAACTCCCGTGGAATTATCAAGGCCCTCCCCATTCGAGGCACGTGGTGGGAGACGTCCATGGCCAGTTCTGGGATTTGCTCCACATTTTGGAGCTCTGCGGAGCAACTTTGGCCCAGAGATCTAGTTCAGGGGCTTGGTTTTAGCGCGTAATACCATCCTTTCTGGTTCCTCGTAAACCCTAAACCCTAAACCCTAAACCTTAAACCCTAAACCCTAAACCCTAAACTCATTCGAAGCCCGATCGAAGCCCCAAGCCCCAAAGCTGCCCCCTAAACCGTAGACCTAGACCCAAGGATCCTGTACATCCGAAGAGCCTGTGGCCCTAGATGAACTTCAAAAGAAACCCCGTAAGGCCCTAAGGCCCTGAGACCCTTACTATGGCCCTAAGATAGGGGCCTTAAATAATTAGAATAGGGTTTTTGGGGTCCATTGTCCTATAATTTGGTCCATTATACTACAATTATTAATAAGGAACCCCCAAAACCCTATTCTAATTATTACCCTGAACCCTCAACCCTAAACCCTATATAATTAGATCTCTAGACCCAATCCTTCCGGATCCTTCTGGGCCTGCTGTGGCATTGGCCGTCTCTCCACCCTATTCTAATTATTAAAGGCCCCTACATTACCCTAAACCCTAAAAACCCTAAACCCTAAACCCCCCAAAACCCTATTCTAATTATTAAAGGCCCCTACATTAAATGCCCCAGGAGCCGTCCTTGCAGAACCAGTACCTCTTCAATGGAGACTTCGCGCCTCGGAGCTCTTCTTTGCTTTAAAAGGTTAAAGAGGGCTTCTTGGTTAAGGGTTTAGGGTTTAGGGTTTCGGGTTTAGGGTTTAGGGTTTAGGGTTTAGGGTTAAGGGTTTAGGGTTTAGGGTTTAGGGTTAAAGAAGGGGCTTCTTAGGTTTTGAAAAGGTTAAAGAGGGCGTCTTTGGTTTTGAAAAGGTTATGAGGGGTTTGTGTAGTTGTATGGCCTTTGTAGTTATTGGGGATTTTAGGGTCACTCTGGTTTTGATTCGTTTTTTTTTCATATGGTTCTGCAGCCGACTTGATGGGGCGGGGGTTCAGTGGGTCTCCGGAATCTTGGGGTTGGGTATGACACACATGACTGAGAGCTGAGGGCAGCATAGCAGGGTTTTGGGGTACGTTATATCCTATAATTATGATAAGGAACCCCCCAAAATAGTATCTAAACTTAAACCCATACTCTCATTATGATAAGGAGCCCCCCAAAATAGTATCTAAACTTAAACCCTAACCCCCTAAATCCCCGAACGCTGGTTCTGTCCGATGAGACTTGCAAGTGGCGACATGCTGAAAGTTCTTTGCCTTACAGTTCTGAAACATAGACAGCCCCTGAAAGCAAGTTTGAAACCATGTCACTTTTAGGATTTAGGATTTCGGGTATAGGGTTTAGGGTCTAGGGTATGAAACCAGACGCAATGCCTCGAGCTTTTCCCTGTGCGAAGGTGGACCGCGGTCAGTTTTCTGTAGAGGTGGCTCTGCTGCTGCTCGCGATGAAGGCCTGCGGACACTGACTTCCGTATCTAGGGTACCCCGGATTTACAGGGTTTTCAGGGGGTGAGGAGTGATTGGAAACCTCGCCACGCCTGCCCATGGCGTTCTGACAGCCCGGGTGAAGGTGCAAAAACCAACCGAGTTTCTAGTAGCTTTTTAGGGGAATTCCTAGCAGCCTAAAACCCTAAACCCTAAACCCTAAACCCTAAACCCTAAGCCCTAAACCCTGCAAAAATCTGCAAGTCGACAGCCCTAAACCCGAAGACTCGAAGTCAAGCCCACTAGTTTGACAGTTGTGGGATAGTCTGCTGGAAACTTTTGCGAAAGGGATGCCACTCCATAAAAGGCCCTAAACCTTAAACTCCCAACTCCTAAACCCTAACTTCTAGACCCTGAGCCCTGAACCATTAAACCTTCAATAGCTTTATTCCGATCCTCATGTTGCCTGTTGCCGCCCAGGTCGCGGCACCCAAAGCCGTGCACCTGAACCGAGGGAACCACGAGCCTTTGCAGAGTTGGGGTCCTCGGATTTCTGGCGTCAGAACGGTCATAATTCATAACACTCCTGTAAGGGGTACGATAGTTACTATAGGGTTCTATCACAGCGTCCCTTGCTGGTTTTTTGGGGGTACTATAGGACTCTATCATAGGGGCCCCTTACGTGGCTTAAATGCCTGTACTCGTATTGTTCCTCAGGTTTCTCTCGCACTTTCATCGTAGAAGACCTGCCCCACCGCCCTATGATTTAAGACTTAGGGGACTGCCTGATCTGGAAGTTCATGTCGAGAGGCTGTCGAGAGGAATGTAGAATCCTTGTTCAAAGAACCTCCGTTAGAGAGGGGGTTTTTGGGCAGTGATTCAGTACTCAAACCCTAGACACCTAAAGCCTACACCACCTAAGCCCCGTTCCACGCGATGCTTTGGGGTGAACCGCCGGCTTCATCCAAGGAGGCTGTCCGGATGAACTCGCTGTACGGCTTCATGCTTCTCGGATCTAAACCCTAAACCCTAAACCCTAAACCCTAAACCCTAAACCCTGCAAGTGCTTGCATAAGC